CAGTTTATGCCATAGAGTCCTTGTTAGAAGACTTGTTTCTTCAAACAGAATACAACATCATATGCATAAAGGGGTAAAACGAAAATCAAGGAATATATAAAGACTTATCTACAGCGTGATTCTGAACGTTCTGAACGTTATGCATAAACTGATGATTTTTGAGACCAATACGCGCAATCAATATTGCGCTATTGAAGATCTCATATTTCGTGCTTATATAGCACCTACTATGCGCAAAGTATAACTAACGTCGATATCAGTACGATAGGAATTGATTGGTGTTGGTCACTGGACCACCAGGAAACAGATATATAATACTGAATTTGGTTCTTTCAAATTACTTAATTATTGGGTTGTCGCTGAAAGAAGCCGGACAAAACGTTATGGTAGAACTGAAATGAAGCGATTTAAACTTAGCCATATAATAGTTAAAGACAATATAATCAACACTGATGAAGCAAAAAGGTTTTTATTTTTCTAAAATTATTTGACTTAACAGAGACAAAAATAGATCATATTTTTAGAACCAAATTTTGCCTGTCTAGTTTTTTTTCAAAACTTTTTCATATAATTTCAATTGATCTTGTTTACAACGCTGCATCTAAAACTCTACTACACCAAGCTATAGACTAGTAAAACATTTTACGTCATCAGTTTTACTACATATTTATGGGAAGTGTTCATAATCGGATGTATTAATGCACACAAAATAAATAGTGTATCGGATTGGCATAAAATAAATGTTCTGCAACATTAGCATCTACTGAGCATTGGCACAGCTCTTTTTACTTTTTTAGACTTGAATCTCGTCTGTGCCACAGTTCAACTATCTCGTTTTTAGCATAACTTTTATAATGTTGAGCTTTCAGCCTAAAAAAACAAAATTAATTCTACGTGTAAAAGACGAGATAAATAATGCGCCTTTAAACACAAATACAAATTATCCTTAAGCTGAAAAATCTCAATGAAAATAAATGAATAAATATTTGAAAACTGTTGACCACTACGTGCTTTCTTAAAGGATTTGATAAAATATTTTATACATTTGTAATCAGATTCAAAAGCGTTTACATTACTAGAAAACAAGTGTAGTTATGACGAGTTGAAAAGATTTTCAAAATCAGTTACATTGTACAAACAGTTTGGGAGTATTTGTTTCAGTAGAGAATTGAACTGTCTTAACTTTTTATGATTTAAACTGTAAAACTCAGCTGAATTGTCGTTTTTTAAAAGGTAAGGTCTAAATAGCATTTTTGGAAAAAATTATATCACTGTTATATTTCATTCATAATGTTAATCAATTGCTTATTGCTGGTGTTGCTTAGGCTTAACTGAAACTAAATATTACACTGATATACATCAAAAATTAAACATAGAATCGAAAAAAAGTTATATTTCTAATTTTATTAGCAAAAAAAAAAAA